GTACTCTAACTTCAGTTTGAGAGTCATTAGAAGCAAAATAGAAACTAAATTAGATCCACGTGTTTTAACTCTCCATATAACCATAAAACAACAAGAGGCCCTTCAACATTCTATTAACCCGTATGTTGCAAAATAATCATTCCACAACTACAATGCCAGAATAAGATTAAAGTTGACAGCCATAGAATGAGGAATAATACTATCAGCCATTATGACAATAATAGGAAGAAATTATAATAGATAAATGAGATTAAGGCTTTGAATACACACACACACACACACACACATATGTGGTATAGATATATTATGTATGTCCACATATATATTTCGTCTTTTTCCTTTAGACAAATTTTATACTCAACTCAATAGGATTTTTTTATTTTTTTTTACTTTTTTCGGGCAGGTATTATGTTCCAAGTGCCAAACTAGCATTTTGCTTCAGAACATCAACTAAATTGAATACAAGATCAGGACTTTGTTCAAGTAATTGTGCTTTAGATCATTTATATGAGCAAGTAACAAAACATGCTCTCTCTCAAGAATGCTCTTGAAAAGTGAATTCCATGTGAAAGTTAAATTCTACAAATGAAGATGTGTTGTGTCAAGAGACTTAAAAAGGGTCCAGAACTGCATTGATCCACAAATTTCGTTTGGTGCGGAAGTGAATGACTATAATGCTAACATTGTCAATCACATTGTAAGCTAACTCAAACCACCAAAAATAGCACTAATGTACAACAACAATCATCAAATTGAATTACTTTGCACCTACTCAAGTTTCACTAAATAGGAAGGATATTCGAAGATATTTTCCATCCAAAGATTTTCACTTTATTCAGAACTTTCAGCAGCCAAATCTCCTTCCAAAATGCCTTTTCAAAACTCACCCCATCTAAAGAACTGACCCATGTTTGTCTTCGTTGCAAATCCATCTCCAAATGATATACCGATTAACAGAAAATTGGAGGCCATTTTTAGTAAAGTGCCAAACCAATTTGTCGTCAGCAAGCCTTGGGGAAAAAAGGGATTTTACATATCAACTCAGCTTCAAAATCCAAAAAGCATTATGTGATGAGAGCTTCATTGCATTCCAGACATCAGTGCTTTCATCAATAAGGGAGCAAACTTTGGCATCAGCATGGAATCCGTCTAACTTTCCAAATCATCACACACTAGACATTCAGATCACTTCAAATCCTTTCTTGCAGATTGCACACAAAATCTATTGCCTTGACGACGAGGGAACTCTCAAATGTGCATGGGTATTTTAGCCTGTACTAAATTTTTATTTTTATTTTTAATAGTTTTCCCATAACAAACCTCAATATTGTTGTGGAGAGTCTCAAGCATCCTCAAAAGCTACCTACAAGATAAGGAAACAAAACCATAAGTTGATAAGAGGTTCAAAGTAATATACATGAACACAATTGTAGTAGAGATGAGATGGCAAGCGAATTTGCTTAATAACAAATAAATTGAAATTAGCAACCAAACTCAAACTCACATAAAGGAAAATGGACCAAACTTTGTCATTTTATTAACTATTATTGTAAAGTCTTAGCTACTCTATCAAGTAAAAGATGAAATGACTGATTCTTCCATATTGCCATTTTTGGAGTGGTAAAGTAACTATGGATTCCCCACATGGATTTTGACCTGACTAGATGGCTTACTAACTGTCAAATGTAGAATAACATGCAAGGAGAAAGGCTTAAAAACACAAAGTGGTTTTTTTCAAGGTTTGGAAATTTAAATGATCAAAAGTCTTGCCTAAGATTGTGTTGGAGGGAGGTTTTTTTTCAATTATGGAAAGGACTTCTTCTCAGTTATCTTGAAATATCTCTTACTCCTTTATCATTTTGTTTTCCTGTCTCTTAATCCTTTATCATTTTTTTTTTCTCTGTCTCTTAATCCTTTATCACCTATGAGAGTTTTCTACATTACTGGATAAAGCCTTATTTTAGAATAGAGCATCCAACGTACTTATCAAGCAAATTTCTGGCATACCTTGAACAGAGGCGCAAAAACTCGCAATGCAGTTTAGATGATGAGCAGGCATACATCCTAAAGTTTGTTTCCACAAGAACAAAGCCATCAGAACAAAAATGTAATGACAATAGTCAGTACATTTTTCTACTTAAATTTTCAACAAAACATTGAAAAAATACATAAAATTATAGTTTTACAAGCTGCAACTGCAGGTTTGTAACAGATTGAGGAAGTTGTCCTCTTTAGGGTTAAAAATATTGTTGATGCTCATGGAGGTGTGTTTGTATTTGGTGGAGTAGGTGAAAGTACTCATGAAGTAGATGAAAAACAATATCAACATTCCAAGTGAAATGGAGCCACTCATTAGCTCTTGTCTTGGCAATTTAAAAAAAAAACAAATAACTCGAACTAATACAAATTATTGAACCATTTATTTTGTAGCCATTGGAAACATTATGTAGCTAGCTAATACATCACATGTCAACATTTCAATTGTTGATGTAATAGATTAATTTTCCCAAAATATATTCCATGCTGCCATGGATATGATACATTATGCTGTCTCTGGCATTGCTATATGTTCTGCATAAATGGGACACACCAAATTTTCATGTCCCACCTAAGTCCAAAAAATTGCAAAAGTGGAATACATAATTCTAATTCTATTGAAATGAAACTAGAAGCCACAATATGGACTACAAATAGATAACATAATGAAATTAAAGACAAAGGAAATTTTGTCTACCAATTACCTGGAATCGAATCAGTAGTATAGGAAAAATGAAAGATCAAGAGAAAAGGCACTGTCTAGCTTGGGTTGTGAATGAAGAAGCTGGAATTTTTTTTTTTTTTTTTTTTTTTTTTTTTTTTTTTTGCGTGAGTTGGTGACAAGGATGAATTAGAGAACTAATGTATTCCTAAAGTAAAAGTGAACCTTTAGAACCTACGGAGTAGATTTTGATTGTCATCCATAGGTGTGCATGGAAGACCATGAACATAGTGACTAAGATTTTGGATGATTGATGAGCTCCACATCTTTAGAGATTGTCAAAATTTATGCATAAGCTTATCATCAGTAAATTTCAAATTTACTAAAGTCAGAACTTGAAACAACTCAAAATTACAATGATGGTAACAATAGAAGAATTATGTTTGAGTGAGTTACTATCATGAAGAGTATCGAAAATTGATGTCATACTTTGCAATAGACTTCAAAAAACCAGATTTATAAAGTTCAAAGCTTGTACATGCATATTTTTTCAAAATGAGATGGAATGCATGTTAAATGCACAATAATAAAACAAAATTCTCTTAAGGTCCTAACAAAAATGCAAACTTGAAATATAACTAAAACATGGTGCAGAAGTAAAAATTTTCCTTTCATTTAGGTACTTGTAGAACAAAAGTGCAAGGATTCTATTGTTTACTTAAACATGGATGAATTAACAGAATCTTTATTTTAGAAGAATGGCAGTGGATTATGCATGAATTCAGCTCAGGGTGAGTAAAAACAGGGGAACAAACTTGATACAGAAACTTGAAACCAAGTAGTCATCAATAGCCACCGCTTTAACAGAATATTTGCTAAACCTAGAAAAAAATTATCTCTCATGCTCTGTTTGTTTTGGCGGAAAATATTTTTTGGAAAAATGCTTGTCACATTTTCTAGTGGTTAGTATGATAGAAAATGAAAGTTAAATGGAAAATGTTTTCTATGGTCAATAAAAAAACAAGCCTTTTTGAGTGAAAAATGCTTTACACTTTTGAAGGTGAAATTTTTTTCCCGAAGTGTAAAAAATTTTTTGGTCTAAAGTCTTACCAACACCACCACACTGTCACCACCGCCGCTGTCGCCACCACCACCCCTACTACAACCGACACCACAACTAATACAACCGCTAGTACATTAGTTTCAAGTTTCAATCAAACATAGGAGATCATTTTCTAGAGAAAACATTTTATAGAAAAATAGGTTGCGTTTGGTTTACTTTTGGAATTGTGATTCTAACAAAAAAACTTCAAAACTCATAACTAAACACACAATTCAAAAACTATTTTTAAAACTCATTACACACAATTCAAACATCTTTTGAAAAGTCATAACCAAACTCTTTTCAAAACAAATAGGGCACTTTTTCAATTAGCACTTATGAACAATACAAGATAAAATAACAAATAAGAATGAAAATTAAGAAAAAATGAAATATTTGAAAGGAAAAGACAAAGAATGAACTGAAAAACAGAGCAGTGTTTTTAATAATAATTAATCAGTAATGTGTAGGTAATTTCAACATTCACGACAAACTGTAACTCTCTTACGATCCGAAAGAACTAAATAGTAAACTCTCAGTTGTGATAAAAATCTGAGATTATATTGATAATGAAAAAATAAATAAATAAATAAAACAGTTGTGATTGGGAGCTCTAATGAGCAGGCATATAGTTTAAAAATATATATATATATATATATATATACATCACATGTAAGCCCGTAGGGCATTTGCTTTTGTTGTTAACATGTAATACTTTTGGAAGGATCTACTCTGATGAATAGAAGAATGTTTATCTTTTATACCAATGCATGTCTCAGTTGATGGGTTTTAGTGTTATTTTTTTGAGGGCGTCACAGGGGGTAGAGGGACGATTGGGCGGAGGCGACGAGCTGCGAGCTGCGACGGCGGGCGGAGGCGACGAACGAGCTGCGAGCTGCGACGAGGACGGCGGGCGGAGGCGGCGGAGGCGACGAGCTCCTCTTCCCTCTCTTCTCTTTCTCTCCCTCTCCCTTTCCCTCTTCCTTTGCAACTCAGAGGTCGAAAATGGCAGGAAAAAAAAAAAGAATAGGCTAATGCCCAAAACGACGTCGTTTTTGGGCATTAGGGGCATTCGGGGCACGAAAATTCGAGGCACAAATCTTTATTCTAAATAAAAATGGTAACAAAGATTTTGTGTTTGTTTGTTTGTACCTTGTAGTTGGTTGCTTATTCTACTTGTAAATATACTCGAGGAATGTATTAGATGATGGGCCAATATTCTTTCCCCTTTTCACACTTCTGTTTCAGTATTGGATTACATCCCCAGATCATGAGTGACAAAAGCGAGGGAGGGAAGCCTTGTTCTGGAAAGGTCGCAAGCTCAGGGCACTTATAGATCAGTAGATGCAAAAGAGAGGGAGGCAACCCTTCCTTTGGAAAGGACGTGAGCCTAGGGCAACTACAGATTTCAAGTGTTTGGAGAGAGGCGAGGTTTTGAAACTCCTCATAAGAGAGTCCTTCCAGATTTCGGAAGCTTCTAATGTTCAAATTGATGAGAGAGGTGGGCAGGAACATCTCTTCTTCTGGAAAGGACACCATGTCTCCCCACGGCCAATCTAAGCCTACAAGTGCGAGTGTTGTAAGAGAAGAGAGTTTGTGCAAACCCCGCTCTAATGGAGATGGAGGCGGAACTGGAAGTTGACCGACGAAATCCCCGATTTCAAGTGAAGTGATGTTGGTGGGGAAACTCCCTTTCTTGACAAAGTAGGAGACCATTCCTACTCTGCAATGAAGTAGCAACAGCTTTTGAAGCGAAGTGAGTTGGTTGATGTTGTTCTCATCACGACCAGCAAGTGATAGGGGCTCCAGATTAGAACTACAATTCACTGAGATTCCTGAGATTAGTGGCTTCAGGTAAAGATTTGAGACTGCTACAATTGCTAATTTCAATATTTTCAAGAGATGGACAATCAATTTTGATCCCTTCCTCTACAAAAAGTGACTCCAGATTTTTACAAAACTAAATCTGAAGTAGTTTTAGTGTGGATGGTAGCCCACCTCTCGACAATAAAAATGTGAGTGATGCACATTCAGAAATGCGCAACTCTTGCAGATTATTGAGTGTCATCAACACGGGTAGGGACTCCAAAGCATCACAATTTGAAACCCTAAGTTCTCTCAGCATAGATGGCAAACCTTTCATTGGAAAAGAGATGAGACTTGCACAACAGTCGATTCTAAGCACCCCAAGAGATGTGTATGTGTGCAGATCTTTTGGCAGTTTGTTCAGCCTTCCACACTTTTCAATTGTTAAATACTCGAGTCTCGTCATGCAAGGTGGCCTCTCATGTTGCTGCTTTTTTGAACATTCTCCTCCTTCTTGCTCTTCTTCAAACAAGCAAACAAGTTTGTGGCAATGAGAAATCTTTAAATGGCAGGGGGAAGGGAGACATACTTGTATTATCACCTTATTCCGCCACAGTGTTATGAGTTCTTGGTAGTTACTAATGTTCAATTTCTCGAGTCCCATCAAATCTCAAGTAAACCATGTCGATAGGAACGCCAGTTTTTCAACATGAGAAATGCTCAATGCAGCTATTGAAGTCAAATGCTTAGACATTTCATTAGGCAGTAACTCTTCATCAGTTGTGCTTGGATCGCAGAGGGAGTCGAGAATTGTAACATGTCTAATATCCAAGGTGAGGGAACCAAGTTCAATCGTGTTCTTCATCCCTAAGAGTGCTGGAAGTCTTGGGAGCATAACATTATTCATTGACAAGGACGCAAGTGATGGCTAAATGAGGTTCGAAACATCAATCAACAACTACGGACAACCATCAATTTCAAGAGAATTGAGACAAGGAAGATCATTTGGTAATCTTCCAACGAGTTTGGGACAATTTTTTATGGAAAGCTCACTAAGATGACCGAATGGCTGAACTCCCTGTGTTTCAAAAGCAGACCAATCCTCCCATTCTGGCATAAACTCAAAGCTCAGTCTCTCTAGAGAGTGGAAAGGTTTGGCACCACACTGCTGCCCGTAGAACTCACAACCCAGGCGCTTTATTGCACTCATTCCTTCAATGTAAAGGTCCTTAAGTAAGGGTAGTTGTCCAAGTGGTGGCAAAGATGTGCAACATTTGCTTCCTTTTAATCGCATGAACACCATTTTAGAGAACGAAACATCTCCAACCCAGTTTGGAAATTTTGTACTGCGATACCCACTGATGGTGAGTTGTTCCAACAATTTGAAAGGTCTCATCCCGTCAAGCACATTCCTCTCAACTATGTCATTCTGTGAACTATGAGATTCATCCTATTCTAGTGATAACTCTTTTAACTCCTCCTTAGATATTAAATTGGCATCCCTTGCATCCTTAACACCACTGACATTCTCTAGTCTTGATATGTGTATTGCCCCTCGAATGTGTGATAGGTTTTTTAACTCTCCTATTTTACGCCCACAATCTTTACCCACCATAAAATTTGACAATGTTTGGAGATTAATTAATTTACCTATATGTAGTGACATCTCTTCTGATGATGGAATATGCACGCCAGTCATGTCGAAATGGCGCAAGTTCACTAGCCTTCCCATGTTTAGAGGCAACTTCTGAAGTTGATGACAAAATTTCAAAAACAAGACCTGTAAATTGTAGAGAGTTATCACTGTGTCAGGTAACCTTGTAATCCTAGAACCGGATACATCAAGATACCGCAAATGCTTTAGATCTCCAATGGAATCTGGTAGTTCATCCACGCTAAGACATTGTAAATGCAACTCACGTAAGCATTTTAACTTTGGCAACAAATCATGTGTCAGGTACCTCGTTACGAAGTGAAAACGTTGTGGCAAAAACTGTAAGAATGTTCGTAAGCATTTGGCATCATCAAAAACTTCAAATTATTTGATTCCATCGTAACACGAGCTTTTTCAAAAATTTTGTTATGCCTGCCATACTCCAAATTATTCTCCAACCTAAAACATTTGTCCCCTGCGACATCTTGAGCCAAATCATTGATGAGGTCATGCATTATGAATTTCAATTTGTTACCACATGATGGTTGAAAAAATGATCTTGACACCAATTCGTGAAAATACTTGCAGCCTAAATCTTCCATTTGCTCTCCACCTTTTGGTTGCTCAATTAAACCTTCAGCCATCCATAGCAAGACTAATTCCTCCTCCATGAATTCGTAGTCCTTTGGGATAATTGCACAGTAGGAAAAGCACCTCTTCAAATGGACAGGGAGATTAAGGTAGCTCAATTTCAATGCTGTGAGAATGCCACTTTCCTCATTCCATATATTGCTGTTTAGTATCTCTTTCCATTCATGTTCTTCTTGTTTACAGCATAATAAGCTGCCAAGGGCCCTCGCTGCCAAGGGTAAGCCTCTGCACCTGTTCTCAACAATATTCTTACCAATTGATACCAATTCTGAGCATTCCATGATATTTCTGTTCTCAAATGCAAGTTGGGCAAAGATTAACCAACAGTCATCATATGATAAGTTTTTCAAATTGAGATATTCATCCATACCCATCTGCTTTACAACACCTCCTTCTCGCATTGTCACAATGATTTTACTTCCAGGTGCTCCAGCTCCAAATGGCAATTATAGTGAATTCCACCCATCATGTCCATAGTGCCACACATTATCTAGGACAAGTAAAAACTTTTTTTCTGCCAGTGTGTCTCTTAGTTGGACTTGAACCTCATTTAACTTGCCCAAATCACATGGACGGTGAGTGAATGACTTGAGAATTGCCTTTGTTGTTCCCAAAATGTCAAAGTCAACAGAAACACAAACCCATGCTTTCATATTGAAATGCTTTCCCACTCGGTCGTCATTGTAAATATGCTGAGCTAGTGTAGTCTTGCCGATCCCACCCATGCCTACAATAGGAATTACATCAAACTTTTTGGCAGTAGGTGCATGCCCAAGTAGCAATTCGATAATTTGCTTCATGTCTTCATCTCTGCCGTGAATATGAGGCTCCTTCAAACATGTAGTTTGTGATCTCTACCATAGATCTGTAGACATCCTCCCAACAAGTCTTTTACCAAAACCAAGATCTTTTCCTTTTGTAGCAACTTCTTGTAATTGACTAGTAATCTCATTTAGCTTTGACCCATTTTTTAAATTGAATGGAACAATAGAAGAGAGACGTAGAAACTTAGCTGGTCTTTTTCCCATCGTCGTCTCCTCCGCCATTAGCTTCCTTTCCAGAGCTTTAGTGGCAAAATCATCCAGTAAGTCATCTGCATCGTAAGCCAAAGGTTGAACCTCTTCTAGCCACTTTTTGATATCCTTGTCGTACACTTGTTTGTTCTCTGCATCAACCAACAGAGTCTCTAAATCCTCTAATGCCTTCTTCAGATTCTGGATGCCAGTGCCAACGTCAGCTGCGCTCACTAAGTTGATTAAAAAAGAGGACAATTTATCAACCGTAGCTTACACAAATGTAGAGATAAAGATCCCAAATATGTCCATGGTGTTTGTTTTGAAAGAAGGAAAGGTAATGAAACCAAGCAAAACAAAGATAAAAAAAACAGGTCGAATAACCTTTGAAAATTTCAAACAACTTTGGTATGTAGGTAAAGGATAAGAAAGGTAAGAAAGGAAGCAACACAGAGATGGAAAAACAGGCTGAAGGGTTAACTTTGGTAAGTAAAGGTTATAAACTCAATACAAACCAAGCAAGGCATAAATTAAAAACATGGTCAATACCCAATACAAGAAGACCCAAATCAAAATTTACATTAACAAAGGGCACACTAATAACTGGTTTAATTATTCAAATGGACAAATGGTTTTTAGGCACCTTTAACTAAAGTGAAAACAGGAGCAGTGGGAAAAAATTATGTTTTTATAATGGTGTAATCTTGTGTGTCCATGTTGCAGATTTATTTTTGTGCTTTTTGTAATTCTTTGTGTGTCAAAGTTGTAAAAAAGAAAAAAAAATCAATTTATAGTACAATTTTCTTTCCACTATTCTATATATTTGCAATTTTCCCTACTTTTTACTCATTTATGCTTCAATTTTCCTTTTTTTTGTTGGATTTTCCTTTTCAATCATTTTTTCTTTGAATTTATTTTTGAGTTCTTCAAAATATTTTTGAGGAGAAGGAAAAAAAAGAAGAAGAAGATGAATATGTTGAAGCAATTAATTATAGAGTAATTCAATAAAATAAAAGGAGAAGAAAAGAAAGGAATTAGAATAAAGGGGCATTTATACACGGAAAATTTACCCATAAATCCTACTTGCTGAAAAGTTGAACCATTTAGTCCTAAATGTTTTCTTATGCACCATTTAGTCCTATTTAATATCCTGATTTTGAGGGGTTTGATTTGATCCATTTCGTTTTTACATCAATACCCTTTACATGAATCTTTCCTTAAACAGTTGTTGGTGAATTCAATTGGGTTTCATAATGTTCAACTTATTTGTGGGGATGGTTTGTTGATTAACACTGTTGGCACTGTTTTTGGGACACCCAAATCGGTGAGCACCATTTTTTGTCCAACATTTATGATGCATTACCACTGATTTTCTTCATTCAACGTTTTTAGTGGGGATGATTTTTATTGATTAACATTTTTTGCACCATTTGTGCGATCTCTCAGAATACGATTATTTCCGTTCTTACTGCTTAACATTTTCTTTCATTCTTATGTATTTGATTGACATTGTTTTCTGATTCTTTATTGTTGTTGTCCACCATTTCGGTTTCATTACCTTTGTTTTTCTTCATTTACATTGATTCGACCATTGTTTTCATGGAGGCAGAATACGGTGAGCACTCTTTTTCCGGTGGTCGGCGTCATCTTCCCCGGCGACCATTGATGTTCTTCACACTGTAATTGGACATTTCAAGTTGGTGGCTTCCTGCGGTGGCACTGCTGTGTTCAAGCCCCCGGGAAAAGGTGTGTTGTTTTTTCCAGAATTTTTTTAGTTTCCTCTGATCTGTCTATGGGATGGGTGCACTGGTTATATCAATGGCTGCGATGGGTCGTTGGGACTTTTTTTTATTTTCCTGCACTGCTGTGTTTAATCCAACAAATGCACACATACTGTTTTGTTCTGGTTGTTTCATGGGTATGTTGCAGCAGTAATGGGTTCTCCAAAATGTGTGCAGGTATGGAAGAGGGAATTTTGCTGGTGTGTTCGTATGGTTTAGTTAATGTTCTTATTCGGTTGCATCAGGATTCGTCGTATGTGAAGATTGTTGATGAAATTTGTGGGAAGTTCGATGGATTGGTACCAGGTGCGGTGTGTTTGTTTTTTGATTTTCCCGGATATAAGAAGTTTAAGGTGGATAGCGACGACGACATTCAAAACATGTTGTGCCTTGCTAAGTCGTTCGGGATAAATCACATTGAGGTCCTCATTCAGGGAAGTAGTGTTGGTGTGGGGGGTAATCGTGTCGTGTTGGATTCCGCAGACGATGGGGGAATATCACGGCATGTTAGCGGGAATGGGTGCGTGGATGAACAGATGGATTTGTTACCAACGTACTGTCCGAACAAATCAAAGACGTTTTTGTCGGCGTAATGGGCGCATGGTATTACCCATGTGGGACAATGTTTTGATGGTGGAGCAACTGAATTCCGTGAAGTTCTGTGTAAGTATGCTGTTGAACGTGGATTTCAATTTAAGTACGTTAAAAATGACTCCGTGCGAATTACGGTAGTGTGTAAGTTTGCGGCTTCAACAGATTGTCCGTGGTCAGCTCATGCGAGGATGTTATCGTCAAGTGGGGTGTTATGTGTTAAGAGGTTTGATAGTGTGCATACTTGTGGGGCTGCTGTACGTACTTCTAGGAACCCTCGTGCGGGGTCAGATTTGGTGTCTACCGTTGTTGCAGATCGGGAGCGCGATAAGCCATTGACGCGCCCCACTGATGTTGTGTTTGATTTGAAGAACGAGTATGGTTTGGACATTAGCTACCGGGTGGCATGGTTGGGTGTTGAGAAAGCTAGGGGCGAGGTCTATGGGGATCACGCTACGTCCTTCGATCAGCTGAGGTGGTATAGCAATTCTGTTATGCAAAAAAACCCAAACAGTTACATTAATCTTGAGTTTGACCAAAAAACCGGGAGCTTTGTTAGGCATTTCATATCATTTCGCGCTTGTATAGATGGGCTCAATCACTGCCGTCCTATGCTATTTTTGGATGGAACGTTTTTGAAAGGTAGATTTAAAGGTAATTTGCTCGCAGCTGCTGCTAAAGATGCCAATCAAGGTAATGGTGTGTTATTTTATTCCATTAGTGCTTATTTGCTGAACATACTAGTAAATAGATACTTCCATTTTTTATACATTACAAATGTTTTTTTCCATTTAACGAAGGAAAAAAATTGAGAACATTGAAATAGGGTCTCCTCAAATAAAACTGAATAGGAATGTAAGACACAGTGGCCGGCTTATTCTCTTTTATTTTGTAAAATGTGTTGCACTTTATTTTGCGTGGATGGTTGTATAACTTTTGTCATGCCTAACTTTTTATGTTGCATGTTTGGTCTTAGGATTGTTTCCGGTAGCCTTTGCTATTGTTGATTCCGAGAATTCAGCCAATTGGGAATGGTTTCTTCGTAATTTGAAAGAAGTTGTTGGGGGTGGGCGAACATTAACTTTCATATCTGATCGCCACGTCGGATTATTACACTCTATGCCCATTATTTTCCCTTCAGCGCATCATGCATATTGTTTGTTGCATCTCCAAATAAACTTGCGGGATCGAATGAAATATGTTAATGCATCGTACAAAATTGGGTTGATGCGGAAGTTGCGGGAATGTGCATATGCGCCCACTGTTACTTGTTTCAATGAGAAATTGGAGGTATTGAAGAAGGCCAACCCAGCTGTGATTGAAGATTTTATGAAATACCTGCACCCCAAACACTGGTCTAATGCGTATTTCAGGTAATTCACGGCCTGCTGAATGGGTTATGGCATATTTAAAAATTCCCACATGTTTTTTTACAGTATGTTTTATTTTTGTCTTTTTTATTTATGCTCCGTAAATGGGGGTTTTTTTTTTTTTTTTTAAGGGGCCAACGGTATAGGGAGATGTGTTCAAATGCTGCTGAATCTTTCAACAATTGGGTTAGTGAGGCCCGTCATCTCCCTATCATGAGATTGATCGATATGATAAGGGGTCAAATAATGGAGCAGATGTCGGAGCGCAGAGTTAAATGCAGTAAATGGGCTGGTGTGATATCCCCGAAAATGGAGAAAAAATTGGCGGCAGCGTGTAACGACAGCAGGGCTTGGTGTGTGAGCCAGGCTAATGATGATGTCTATGAGGTCCACTCCCACCCATCGATGTTGGTTGATGTCGGCAAGCAGACATGTTCTTGTTTTCAGCGGCAGATCAACGGGTTCCCATGTTCCCATGCTGTCGTTGCATTCCGTAATAGTGGAAGAAACATCTACGGTGCCATAGACTCCGCATTTTGCATTGATACATTTCGAGCTACTTATAGTGGAACCATATACCCCATCCCAATAGTGGGGAGGCCACTGTTTAACCCAGCTGAATGTTTGATAGCTCCGCCGATCGGCC